CACCATTTTTTTTTTACTGCTTTTGTTTTTTCTGCAGAGTGGAAAGCCCCCGGTCAAGGACATGTTCACAGATCTGAAAGATGGAAGGAAGCTTTTGGACCTTTTGGAGGGTCTGACAGGGAAACCTCTGGTAAGAGAAATGTGTATGAGTTGTATTCCCATTTATTAAAAAAAAAACCAACCCAACCGACAAATAAACAACACACACAAAAACCAAACTGTGGTGTGTAAATTTTTTTTTTTTTAAATTTATTTAAAAACCTATTTTGCTTGTAGTGTGTACTTGCTTTCTACAGTTCCAATGAAATTCCAAGGAACTCCACTCATGGGATATAGGGTCAGGCTGAAGTTAGCTGTGTAACCCTCTCTTGAGAGTTAACATACTGTTTAGCAAAGCTTGTAAAACTAGTGGTGTTATTCACATAGTGTATATTTTTAATAGAGATCTTTTAAAGGTGTGCTTCTGGATGATCTGGAAGTGCAGCCTTTAGCTGGATACCTGGCAAAAATCTGTATCTCCATTGAAAAATCCTTTGTGATCTACAGATGGGAAAGGGGTGAAAACTACTCAAGTCTTGTTTGGGAAAGCTGGAAACTGTTCCCCTGCTAACATTGATGCCTCTACAGAAAGATACATGAGGCATGGTCAAACCTGTGCCATCACTTGAGATTAAATTCTTGATTTCACTATTTATAATAAATCTCAGATTTGTTTATTGACCTTATGGGGAACCTTCAGCCATTTAAAATTTCACCTTGCAAGCTTGTCTTGTTTTTTAAACAGATGCATTTCACTAGTACTTCTAATGATTTGTGGTCTGATTTGAAGTATACTGAAGGCAATAGGAGTGTTTTGGTTTCTAATTCTATTGATTACCGTGTTCCAAGTTCAGCTTCATGCTCTTGCAGTATGATCATGTTCTGCCACAGGAGTTAAATTGCGGTGATTAAAAGCAAATGGAGTGGCAGGTATTGTCAAGAGTTGCAGTGGGTCATGTGTCGTCGTGTCCCCCCCTCCGATATTAAAAGGAAGGGAAAGTCAGGAAGCATAACTTCTTCCCAGTATGCAAAGATTTAGCAGGCTTTGGGTGCCAGAAAAACAAATTGCTGCTTGTTCCCTCTTGGGAGCCAAAAAATTTCAACTGCTCTGGCAAATGTTCAAAACCCTCAGATTTTCCCCGGGAACTCCCACTTTGCTGTTGTATTGCCAGTTTATAATTCTGCAGATGCTGGGAATAAAAATTCTGGACTTACTGAAGATGAACTGAAGCACATTTTGAATCCAAGGCTTGTCCTGTGCCTTGAATTGAGGAATAATGCTCTGATCAGCTTTCATTTTGAAATTGTTGTGGATGATCTTGTTTGGTTTTTGTTCCTACTTAAAAAAAAAAAAAAAAAAAAAAAAATCTGGAGAAAATTAAGAGAAATTTCCTGTTGTTTGCTCTATCATTTATTTTGTTTGGTCTGTCAAGTGAATTCTGATGTGAACAGATTGTAACTTTTTATTTTCAGCCTAAAGAACGAGGTTCTACACGAGTACATGCCTTAAATAATGTCAACCGAGTACTGCAAGTCTTGCATCAGAACAACGTGAGCATGTTTTTCCACAACTTTTTGATAGACTCTTTAATTTATCCCTTTGTGTAAATGAGTTCAAAATGCAGAGAATAAAGATTTTTTTTTGGTACCTAAAATGAGAATGCAGAGAGATGGGTAAACTGTTCTCAGTTTTCCTTATCTGATGTAGAATTTCAGTTTCTGGCAATTTTGTGAAATCTTAAAATGCTAACCTAATAATGGTATTAACTAAACTATATTTTGTTGAGATATGTTCAGCTCCCAAAATGAAGGAGACTTGAAGCTCTGCTATGCATAGCTCATGAACCTGGCAGGACAAAAATCTAATTTCCAGTGATGATGCATAACTTGTGCAAAAATCTGTGAGGGTATGACAGATTTTGTGCCTCTGTTTTTTGTCCTGCTCTCAAAATCCAGGAGGATCTTTCTATTGACACCTGTCAGCTCTGTGTCAAATCTGTACTGAGGGTTTCTAATTTGGAGCTTTGGTAACTGATCAGAACAAACAGACCCCAATCCTTCTTTAAGAAAAATGAGAATAATTGTTTTATTTTGTTTCTATGTTTTTACTGCCTGGAAGCCAGTAGTGCTATAGTAAAGTGATTGTATTTTTCCCCTGAAGAACAATTCCTGATAAGTGTACTCTCTATAGTTAGAATTTCTGTTTGCGAATGTCGGGGCACTAAAATAACTTAATAAGAACATTCTGGCAATAAAATACATCTAATGCGAGAAGGCACTGACATATTTATGTAAACTGCTGATTGAAGAGTGATACAAACATGCTGTGTAATACTGCAATTTCCCCTCCGTGTTGGTGGACTAGTGTCATATTTCTAAGAAGCAGCCAGAGTTAGTGGTGGGTTGTTTGCTTTTTTTTTTTTCTTCTTTGAGGTACTGTAAGTGTTGATTAACTTTTTTCTAAGGATAAGTAATGAGTCTTTCCATCTTGAAATTGATTTATTTTATGAAGATAATAAATTAAATAACACTGTATTACAATAATTATTTAGTTCTTCCTTAAGCTGGCAGGATCAGGATCTGGGTTTGTAGAAGTAAACAGATGGTGTTAGTTAGCTGAAGGTTGTTAAGGTCATGTACATGATTTATACCTACTGCTTAACATCATTAGAAAGTGTGTATGTGTGTTAAGATGAAGGGAAAAGGCATCCACTGAGAAGCAGTTGCATTCTGTTGCCTGAGAGTTTGTGGGCTATACAATATTCATAACTTGTGAAATAATTTATGAAAGTGTTTACATATATATTGGAAGGATCAGACAAGCCTCGGGTGTAGATGTTCAACTGATCCTGCGAACCTCACCCATCTGATGAGCAGAATGGTTCTAAGTAATGAATTTCAACTTTTTTGATTTGTGGACCAAGTTTTTAAAAATAATAATAATAATAATAAAAAAAATATCATTCCATATAGCCAATATCAGTCTACTGTCAGTAGCGCTGACTGTCTACTGTCAGCTTTCTTTTATTGATTATCTTTGCTTAAGTCTCAGTCGTCCACTCGCCATCCTAGTGGATTGCTGGCTGCATCCTGCAAAGCATTGGTTTAGTTTAGAATCATTACAATACAAAAATGGACACGTGGAGTACTTTCTTTTATGTATGGTGTAGATAGCAAGAGGAATGCGTTTATTATTATTATTACTGACATGCAATTAAAAAATGTGAAGTGTTTTTGTTACCCATTCTCAGGAGTGTTTTTCTTCCATTGCAGGTGAAAAAAGCTCTTGCAATGTAATTGTTTTATTTTTGTGCCCTTGACCTTTAGTCCTGCTTTCTGCTGCTTGTGTTCTAGAGCCCTTTCCAGTGCATTGTTTATTGGTCCGCACTGGTGATTCTTCTGGCCTGTTTTTGCCTGTTTAATTTATAGTTATCTTAAAATACGCGCCTGTTATCTGCAAAGAGTATTGTTGTAAGATTCTGTTCCAGCTCCTGTAAAAATTGGGGGAGGACAATCCACAAATCCACAAGCTTCCTTAGGACTTTGAAGTGTAATTTGTGGTTCCATGTTAATCTCGCAACACAGTTTTGATTTGATTCTCGTAACCAAGAGACCTATGGGGAACTGAAAATTGTCAAGATGATATCTGAAAGCAATGAGGTTACAAGTACATTTTGCAGAACTGACGCTATTCAAGATTGTGTGATAAGAGGAGAAATATTAATGGAATACCATTATATTCTTGTATATCAGCAATATCCTCTAAAATGAAATGAAACTTTGTTCTTGTCTATTCTGTCATTGTAGGCTACATCCACGGAGGGCCAGAGCATGGGCTCCGTTACTGTTGTGTGATTTTCCGTATTGTTTAGTTGCTAGCCAGCTCATTGGTGCAGGTTTTGTCTCTATTACCAGTTCTGATCCCAAGCAGTGCCCAGATACAGCTCTCAAGAGTTAGTGTAAGCTGGGAGGTGTTTCTGGTAGGCACCGTGGATAACACTGTTTTGGAGCAGGGGTGAGAAAGGGAGAAAAAAGCTTCCCCATCGAGGTGAAATGCACTGTGCTGCTTGCCCCGGGACTGGAGGAGGATGCTCCTGGCTCAGGTTATTTTCAAGAATGAAGCCCCACCATCTGCCCTGTGTGGGAGTGCATTGCAGCATCTGCTGTACCTGTACATACGCCCAGGGAGGTATTTGTCTCCTCTGCCATAGGCAGCTGTTCCTAGCCCAATTTCCATAGGTGTGTGGTGGTGACTAACGCAGTGTGCTGCTGTTGGTTCCCTCCAAACGCTGGTTCAGAGTTAGTGCCGCTTTCTCTGTGTTGACTGAAGGCAGACTTGATGCCCCAATTCAGTTCAGACTCTAAAGTAGCACTGAGTGAGTATCTGGTAGTGTGCTCTAAGCTTTGCTTCTTCTGAGGGCTGAATACTTGATGCAGGAGTGGGTAGCCGCTCCTGCCCTCTTGCTTACTAATCTCCTTGTCTCTCTTTCCGTGTTTTTGCCTTGTTAATGATCTATATTAGACCATCACTGAGTCTATGTGGGGTCCTATGCATAGAGCAAACTTGAAAATTTTATTTTTCCCTTGAACTTTTTGTCTCCTTGTATAAACTTGTCCCATTTGGATGCTGGTTCATGCAAAGGAGAAACCTCTTCTTAATTACAGAGTTTTCATGGTTCTGTAATATCTCTGAGTGTGTCTACGAGCAGGACTGCTTAACTTTTTTTTTTTTTTTAATATCAGATCCTTTGTGTTTGCATTTCCATTGGTCAGTTTTGAATGCTGGTATAAGCATCTGTATATTGGAAGAGAGGATAAAACTCTTCCAATGGAGTATCTTCTTTGGTGCCATCTTTTGTCATGTTGTTTAAGCAGTTGCCATGACAAATTCAGATAGACTGTACTCTGTCCTCTCTGGTTCTCTCTTTCTAACTACTTTTTATTTCAGAGCACTTGGTAATATGTGGCTGGACAGCCAGGAATATGGGGTGGGATTGCGACTTGAAACTGTGATAACAGTGTTTAATATAGAGTTCATCCGACCTCTCCAGGTGGAGTTGGTGAATATTGGAGGAACAGACATCGTTGATGGAAATCACAAGCTGACGCTGGGGCTGCTGTGGAGCATTATCTTGCACTGGCAGGTGAGAGGCTGCTGTGAGATCTCTTCCTTTCCAGGAATCTGCTGTGATTCTCACAAACCTTCCTGGGCTTTTGGTGGTGGAAAATACGGCTTCTATTTTGGGCTGGTAAATAAAGGCAGGCCAGTGTTTGGTTTCTGAGTTCTGTCTATTGGCTGCCTCTTGCGACATACATTCTGGTATGTGCTCAGTTGTACTCAGTCTCTCAGTTTAGTTCCTGCTGGTGTTAATTGCAGAGAGGCTTTTCAGGCTGAAGCATTGTACTTGTATTCCTTCCTCAAGGCTTTTATGCACTTCTGTTAGCAGGTGTTTTTCTACTATCTAGGTAGCTGTGTTGGGCTTGCATCTTATATGCTGCTCTGTAGGTTTGTTTCTCAGTCTCAGATTGAATTGCTTCTGGTTTATCCAGGTACCTGGGAGGATTGTTGAATTCACTTGGAGGGACTTTGGCGGGTGCTTATGCATACTACCCAAACAGCAAACTACTGTTGTTGGCTGAGCAGATATCCTCTTCTTGCAGAAAACCTGTGCAAGCTGTGTTTTTGGCATTTGCTTACTGGTGGGACTGCAGCACAAGGCAATGAGAAATACTATACCCCACGCATAGTGTAGGCAGCACTGAGGAGAGGGGGAGGATCGTAACATAAGAGTAATGTGTCATTATTACATGAAGCATTACTGGCTTTTGTAATCGGTAGGGTGCAAACATGGCCTGAAGTCTCCTATTCCCAAATTTCATGTGAGGAGTTAGAGTTTGATTTGTAGCTTTTCATTGGAAAGACCCTTTCACGATTTGTGAAATAGCTTGGTTCAAAGGTTTTGTAAGCAGGAAGAGTGGAGTCTGTAAGGTGTAGTTGCTGCTCTCTTGCAGGTGAAGGATGTCATGAAGAACATCATGTCAGATTTGCAGCAGACCAACAGTGAGAAGATCCTGCTGAGCTGGGTTCGGCAGTCCACGAGACCTTACAGTCAGGTCAATGTTCTGAACTTCACCACAAGCTGGGCAGATGGACTCGCCTTTAATGCTGTCATCCACAGGCACAAGTAAGTAGCAAACAGCTTATCTTAGACCTGGTGAAGTAAGCAGCTTTTTTCCCCATGTCTTCATGCTTGACAGCTTCTAGCCTGTTTCAGTGGTTCACTGTTTGGTTTTTTTTGTTGTGGTAACAATACCAGTGGAGGGATATTGCCAGAGCCTTGCAAAGGATGGAGCCAAGGCAGCAGTGTAACTCAGTTGCTGCACATGCACACACGCTTGCTGATTGAAGTGGATTTACATCCCACTTAGTATGCATTATACAGCGAATATGCTGAACAGGTCTCTGCAGCAGGGGTTGACAACCTCTTTCCCCTGTACGTCCTTCCTCCTGCCCTCCCTGCTCTACAAAGGGAAACATTTCTTCAGTTGGAGTTTGCCATATAATTTTAGTAGCAAGATACAGAAACTTCAAAATGAAGGAGTAAGACAGACAGGCTCTGTAGCTGTTCTTCGTTTTTGAATGTATGTTGCTTGAAAGGCAATGTATGCAGTTCTTTCAGGAGACCTGTTGAGCGAAAGAATCAAAGGGTAATAGCATACTTCAGGTATCTGTAGTGTATTCATTAGTTTGTTCATTATACTTTATAAGGAATGCTGTTAAAGTTTCTTTGCACAGATCTTTTGTGTTCTTTCTGATTTTTGGAGAACTCTTGGGTATTCTAAAGAAATCATCATTACAGACTCCCGTGAAACTTCAATACTTTTTTTTTTAAAAAAAAAAAATTTCTTTGAGATCTGCTTCTGGGCAATCCATTCTAAGCTGGCATACTTTAAATGAAGTCAGCTCATTGCTTTGCAAGGGGTGACTGTTCTTAACCATAAATAACCGTTTTAACATGGTAATAGTATGATAATATCTAGAATTTAACCAGACCTCCTGGCCACCAGGTATCTGTCATGGCAAATGCTTTACAAATACCCTGAATATTTATACACAGCAGATACAAAGTGTTCACAAAAGCCTATGTTCGCTCTGAGCCTGCTGTTCTCTGCTCTTAAGTGCCCATTTGGCCTGTGCTGACTGAAATAACAGGCCCTGTTACAGGCTTGCTGGCTTCAGGACGGGTCTGCCCTGACACGCCTACGTGCCTTGAAAGTTTGGAAGGACTGTTCTGCAATGGCATAGCAATACTAGCAAAGGTCTCTCTGGAGTTTATCAGAAGTATTACTGAGTTCCTTCTCTGGATGGTGTGATGTGTACTGGTAGTTTTCATACCGGCGTAATTGCCTGTAGTGCCGTAGCTCTGCTGCTGAACATGTGAAGCTTTATGATGGAGAGAGTGCCAGCTTTAGACACAAGTGAGACCTAAGTGACCTGAGGGAAGCAGAAGGAGAGAGGTAGCAAAATTGGCTTTAGGCTGTTTGTTGTCCTTATGCATTGTGACTATGTGCTTGGGCTTTGTGGGATCTGAAGTCTGTGAGCTCTGCCCTTTTCAGAGCACTGGTAGGTAGCCAAAGCCCCTGCTGAAAACTTTAACTGAGTAACTGTGCTTTCCTCTGGCTTCCTAAAATTTCTCAGTTACCTGGCTCTGCTGATCTCTGAGCCTTTTATTCCCTCTTCCTGAGAGCCTGGCAGCTGCCAGCATGTCAGAATTCAGCTTTGCTCTCCCTGGGCACCAGCTCTTTAGCCAGGGAAGCACCGTTTTCCCCACACTTCTGAGAAATCTTGAGCTGGGTTTAAATTTAGGTCGGCTTTGAAAGAGAAGCTTTAAAAGGCATTTGCAAGGAACAAGGGGATTGAGGCAAGTTGCAGAAGTGGTAGGACAACGAAGCTATTTGGCTTACCCAGATGGTAGTGCTTCCATGCCTAAGGGGCATTTTCAATATTGCTTTTTTAATTTAGCTTAATATGACACTTAATATAGGAGAATTTTTGCGGATCCCATTAAGAGGTTTAGTAGCTCGCTTTTCTCTGTGTATCTATCAACAATTGTTAGCAGTGCTACCTCTTGGCTATAATCTCTAGTAACTTTGTAACACTTGCAGTACTTAATGAAATTATATGAGGTAATAGGACATTTAACATTTTACTGTGCTGGTCTCTTTCATTTCCTAATACTAGCTTAGTTCCTCTTTGAATTGAATCCTGCTCTTTGGTACAATTTTCTTGCTCATGGGTAAATACCTAGATTACATTTTATTAAAATTGGTGTTATCATGGCAGTGTGTGGGTAGTGCATATACAATATACTTATTGCAATGTGTTTTTCAAAGTAAGAGTCTCTGTTAAAGCTTTACATGAATCTGTGTGGTTATCCTTGGAGGATACCATGTCAGAATTCAGCTTTGATCTCCCTGGGCACCAGCCCTTTAGCCAGGGAAACACCATTTTCCCCACACCTCCTTGCATGGAGGTACAGTATTCCACTAGCTTCTATCAGGATCTTTGCGTATCTCTGCTCCCCGCTCACCCCACCTTGCTCTGGCTTTTTCCTTTTCAGACCCTGCTGGCTTATGGCCTTCCTGTTTCACAAAGTGTAATAACAGATGTTAAAAGGATAGTCTCAGGTCAATTTACAACTGATTTAAGTATTGAAAGAATTAAAGGCAAGCCCATCTCTTCCTCCCCAAGGTCTATAAAGCACAGAATCAATAGCAGTGTTTTAATGAGAAGCCACTGTTGCAGGGGAATGGAAAGTATTTTAATGGCTCTGTAGTCTTACAGCTGTGCTGCGGCAGCACTAGGCTGATCATGCCCTGTCGGTGTGGGTACCACTGGGAGGGGGCCCTGTTTGCTGACCGCGCTTCCTGCTCTGTGCTCTGCTCTTTCCCCTTGAGACCTGCTGGGATGTTTTGGGTGCACAGCTGGACTGGAGATTTGGTCTCGTTAACGCTAATGTGAGCTGAAGGCTGCTGGCACTGTAAATCGATCAGCTCCTTGGTCTGATTTGCACTGTGACTCTCATGAGCGCTTGTGATGGGGTGGTTTTTTGTAGTGGTTTGTGGGTTTTGGTTTTTGGGTTTTGGGTTTTTTTTTTTTTTTTTAAAATGGGGGAAAAAGGCCATGGGGCAGGGTGAGCGAGCAGGGGTGGAGACTACTGCTAGTCCTGGCTGTGATGGTCTGGGGTGGTCACTGAGCCATGTCACAAGTTTGGAATGAGGCTCTCCAGGAACAGAGTGACTTGATTACCCCGCAGAGCCTGATGCAGAAAGCATGTGCTAACAGTGATGCTGTGCAAGAAACAGTTGAAGAAAAATGGTTCTGGAATAAACTTTAAACACTAAGTTTGTTTATTTTCTTGTTAGTATTTAATCTCCTGTTGCAGTCAATGAATCTATGTATAGAAAACGTAGAATGGAAGGTGGATGTTGCTGTGGACATGCAGTCAGTTAATTGATTTCTGATTGCCAGATTCTCACTAATAAAGAAAGCACGTATTTGCATTTATGCATTTGTGTATATGCACTTGTGTTTATATTTTGTATGTATGTATATGTTTATATTACTTAAGTAGCTACCTTCATGTCCATAACTTCATATTCTGCATGGTATGGAATTTTTTCTTCAGATAAAATTTACTGCTTTCTTTCCTGTTTTGTCTTTACTTTTAGACCTGAGCTTTTCAGCTGGGATAAAGTTCTGAAGATGTCCCCAGTTGAGAGACTGGAACATGCTTTCAGCATAGCAAAGAACCACTTGGGAATTGAGAAACTGTTGGATCCTGAAGGTGGGGTATAGTTCTTTTACTTGACTAGAAGCTCTTTTGAGCTTTCTTGAAAGAAATTTCTTCTATTGACATTTACTATGAATACAAATTCTAGTAGTTTTGTGCAATGGTATTTCATTTCAAGCCCTTAAATTTGGGTTTGAAAGAATGTAATTTGTAGGGTAAGGGTACATCTATGCATGCATATGCTTTGGCTTCTTGAATGTTAAGGTTCAGGTTGACTTACCATTCAGAGACAGTATACAGAAGGTGAAGTTGGTACCCTGGCTTTGTTTTATTGTAGGTAGGAGTTCTGCCGCAAGCATCTGTGCTTTTCAGATGAGGTAAAGCATTATGTAGAATGGGATCATTTAAGAGCTCATGATCTTTTGTTCTTTATAACTACACTGCGTAAGCAGTAGCTGCTAGTGTTGTGAGTACTTACCGTGTAGGAATGCTTGCCAGGAAACTTTTATGGCTCCTTTTTAAAATCCTGAGTGGTTGCTCTGCTTTGAAGTGAGCCTCCAAAGATTCATTCTGTAAGCAAGCTCTCAAACTTTATAGATTCAAGCACTGCCTTCTGTTTAAAAAAAAAAAAATTAACTGAATGGGTAGCACTCATAAACCGAGAGATAGTGAACCTGTGAGTCAGTGAAACTCTTCTCCATATGAAAAGTAAGAAAATGAACTGACCAATGCTGGGAGTGGGGATAGAGCCTAAGTGGAAATGTTTGTTTATACACAGTACTGTCCCTGAACTGCATTTCTGTGTGGGAGATGCTCCAGAATAATTTTCCTCCAGAATAAAAACCCAGTTTTTATTCCTTAGTAACTTCAGGTTTGGGCTCTTACTTCAAAAAGATCATGCTTTTTAATGTGAATTCACTTCAAAATGTGGAAACTTTTTTTTTTTTAATTTTTTCTCCTTCATACTGCTTTCAACATATGTCAAAACTGGCCTTTTAACTGAAAGCTTACTAAAGGCTGCTTAACAGGACAACCTGTGATTTACACTATATGTAAAGTCTTAACTGTATTCTAAGTAATGATTTAGAAAAGCAGCTTCTTCATTTATATTTCCCCATATTTTATCTTTTTGATGCAGATGTTGCTGTACAGCTTCCAGACAAAAAGTCTATTATTATGTATTTAACCTCTTTGTTTGAGGTCCTTCCTAAGCAAGTCACTATGGAAGACATCCGGGAGGTGGAGACCCTTCCAAGGAGATACAAGAAGGAATGTGAGGATGGAGAGTTCAACATGCAGCAGGTGTGTTTGTCATCAAAGTCTGCCTTGCTTTTCTTGAGTTGTAATCTTAGCTGATCTGCAGGCTTGTCCGTCATCTCTGGAACATGCCTTCTATCTTGGGCAACACAGTTGGGAAAATAATGAAAAATCATAGCATCTTCTTTGTGATTGGCTTCAGTTGTTCTGTCTTCCTTGTTCTTCTTTTCTGATTCACGTACAAAATCCTGTGTGTTGAGGTATAAAGTTCCATGTGTGTTATGCTTCTTCCTTCTGCTTCTCTGTCTTGCAAGCTGGAGAGGGTGGCCCAAAATCTTCAACTGAGTTTGCTGCAGGACTTGTGGTGGTAGTGGTAGTGATGGGTCTTTGTTCCTTTAACAGCGGATCTCACACCTGAACAGGATTAAAGTTGTCTTTTCTATCCAGGTTCTTTATTTTAAAACAAAAGGTCATTAGTGGCAACTGTGGCCCTTCTCATTAAAATGTAGCCAACAATTACTTTTAACATTTTATGAATTATTAAAAGGGATCTTAGTTGTTCTACTTTTAGTATCATTTGGGAAGCCATCTTCTGTGTGCTTCTAAGACATCACTTTTCCCTTGGCTGCCTAGGCTGTAGCACTTGAAGAGGAGCAGGGCAGTTCTAGAGCAGAGACTCCCAGCACCGTGACAGAAGTGGATATGGACTTGGATAGCTACCAAGTTGCTCTGGAAGAAGTTCTTACGTGGTTGCTGTCAGCTGAGGATGCATTTCGGGAACAGGAGGAAATATCTGGTGATGTTGAAGAAGTCAAAGAGCAATTTTCCACTCATGAAGTAAGCTTCTTTTGAAAATTTATTTGCTGCTTTTTTTGGGGGGGGGTGGGGAGAAGCTGCAGAACTTCCATTTCCTAGTCTTTGTCCCAAACATGACATTCTGTTTCTCTTGTCTTTTTCTGAATTAAAAGCACCTCTAACTGAATGTGATGTGGGTTTTTTTTTTGTTTGTTTGGTTGTTTTGGGTTTTTTTTTGTTGACAAATAATAGCTTCTTGAAGGTGAAATAGATCTTTTTAGGAGAACTTAGTGGAATGTGCTTTGAAACTTTAATGTTTGGGTTTTTTTATCAGCTTTCGGTGGCTGGCTCACTAGTGTCTGTAATACAAAGATAGTCTGATCCAGGCTGATTTGTACTTCTCTGCTGCCAGCTACTAAAAAGCCTGGTCAGCCTTATGTCACTTGCTGTTAAATGAGGGCAATGCTGAAATTGATAATCATGCCAATTTAATTCAGTGGTCTCCCTGTCATAATTAGCATAGTTTATTTCAGAAATGTGTGTTACTTCCAAATTATTGTTGTTTCCAAATTATTTTGGTTTGGTTCTGTTCCAAGTCTGAACAAATGTTCTAATGTTGCTAAAAGTTGCAAGTGTCATGTTAGATGTTTTAGTTTTCTTCTGTGTCAGCTTACTGTATAAATTGAATTTAAAATCTGAATGCTGATCCATATGAAGAACTTTTTTTTCCTTGTGCTACAGTTTTAAAGCCATGAACCAAAGGAAGAGGTGTTCTAGATTTATAATGTTATTAACTCATAGGGTTCTATTTGCTTTCCTACGATACTTTTCATGGTGCAAGCTCATTCTGCAGCACTGTTTCAAACATGACAATGTATTAGGACATTTACAAGTTCATGAACTCCTGTAGGAGCTCACAGGTCATGGTGACGTGGCTGGTTGTACTGTTTTCAGGCTTTTATGATGGAACTGACAGCGCACCAGAGCAGCGTGGGCAGTGTTCTGCAGGCTGGAAATCAGCTGGTGGCCCAGGGAAATCTATCGCCTGAAGAGGAATTTGAGATTCAGGAGCAAATGCTGCTGCTGAACTCGCGCTGGGAGGAGCTCAGGGTGGAGAGCATGGACAGGCAGTCCCGGTGAGTAACCCCATACAAACTCTTCTAGAGCTGCAGGACCGACCTCTGGTGCTTTCTGCATCTCAGAGGAGTCAGTTTGCATCCATTCGTAAGATTTTTTTTTCCCCCCCAGAATTAACTCTTCAGTTTGTGACATGAAATCCACCTTCTTCCTACTTTCCAAGGTGAAACAAAAGAAATTAATATAACTGGGGTTTTTTGATTCTTATATAGAAGCATTTTGTGACTTATGTTATGTAAATGTGCCAGACTAAATATATAGTGTCTACGTGCAGTAGTTACATAAATGTGTTTTTAATATTGTTTCAGTAGTTTAAGTTCCTCAATAAAGCATACAGTAGATATGGATAGCTATGTGTGTTCACACAACTAAAAAGCACTTAGAAGAATTTTTTCCCACCTGTGGGCTATCAAACTAAGAGATACACATCAGGGGAGAAACTGCATTTTGTTGCAACTCTCAGCAGAGGCTATTAATAGCAAATCCCTGATGCAAGAAACAATCCCTGATATAAACTGCAGGGGGATACTTAACTGTGTTCCTTAGCTTAAGGGTGAAAATTTTATTTGATGATAGCTGACTGGTTTATGAATGGCCTTGCTTCTTTCCTACAGGAGTTAGAACTTAGTCTCTTTCCTTGGGAAAACTTTCTGAAATAACTGTCCCTGTGCTTCCCCCTGCAGCCTGCATGACATGCTGATGGAGCTCCAGAAGCAGCAGTTGCAGCAGCTGTCCGACTGGCTGACGGTCACAGAAGAACGCATTCAGAAGATGGAATCTCAGCTCGTGGCGGAAGATTTGGAGTCCCTTCAAAAACAGCTGGAAGAACATAAAGTAAACCTTTTTGTCTGTTATGCAATATGTATGGGAGAAGTATTTGGAAGATGTGTACGTTGGTGGGTTCCTTAGCTGAGAAGTTTGATTGTGTCAGAAGTCTATATAGCTGTGTGCTGAGGGGCTGCATTTGATGTTTGGAAAAGGATGATGATGGGGTAGAAAGGAATTGGAAGTTTCTGGAAGAGCTTTCTTAACTGAACACTTGAGCACTCATGACTGTAGCAGAAACTGTTATCTTCGCTTCATGCCGGAAGCGAAACCTGTAGGGGAAATTGTGTTAGCCTCACTTTGTGCAGGAAGTGAGACCTCTCCAGGTAAATTGTTGGTGTGAGGGACAGTATGAAATGTATGGTGGACAAACTTGCCTTTAATGACTGGCAGGCATTGCTAAAGCATGCTTGAGACTTGCAGATTAAAATAATGTGGGAGTTAAAACTATCAGGAATGGCCGCCCAAATCACTGATTCCAGTCCCTGCTTTTACAGGGATCACATCCCAAGGGGGCGCGTAGACACTGCTCTCTGATGTGCACAATGTTTTGGAAGTGGTTTGTCTCTCAGTTAAGTTTCTGGATGGGAGTCCAGCCTTTGTAGTCCGCAGTGGTTTTTTAAGGAGAAAGATGGCCTTTGATACTTGTCATGTTTGTGACTTTGGTTTTCATACTTAGTGCTGAGGTTTGACCTTCTCCCCAGAATGGGACATACTTCACAGGGCAAGAACTGCAGGGTATTTTTAGTCTGTGTAACTTCCTGTCCCATATTTGCATTCTTTCCTCTGTCTTCAAAGCCCGGGGAGTTTGAGGTGTATTGTTGACGGAGTAGCTTAAGGTATTTTGGGATGAAAAGTTATATTTACAGTACTGTAAAGGCATATTGATCTTGCAGAGATATTTCGGAGGTAGGCTTTAACCATGGAATCTGTTCTTCTAGAAGTTGTATGAATATTTAAATCTACAGAGTTTCAAACTAATCGGAACTGTATGCTGTCTGCAGTTTTCAACTATTGTCTTCGAACATCATGATCAGTTATAGCACTGTTGATACTTATGAGAATTATATTGTCAACTATTAAAAGCAGAATGTTCTTAGTGATTTTTTTCCCTGTTTGGCATGCCCTATGGTACTTGCTTGTTAACAATGATAGCTTTTTATAGAAACACTTAAGCTCTTACCTATAACAGTAGGCATATAGAAAGTCAATGCAGTTGTCATATGATTCTCCTAGTCAAGTATGGTGCATACAGCTTAAAGCATTCCTTCATGTTTTCCAGCATTTTAACAGAATGGTTTTGAGTTCATTTCTAGCAGTCTTTTGCTTATGTTTATTTAAACTGTGCAGTGATTCCCAGTGGTTAAATCTGTGCTTAACTGTTGAATGTGAAGGACTTTAGCACAGCAGTTGTGTTAGTCAGTGTGGCCAGAATAGCAGATTAGCAAATGTATTCAAAGTTGGTAACCTCTGATTTGTTCTTCTAGAGCCTGCAGAATGACCTAGAGACAGAACAGGTGAAGGTAAACTCCCTAACACACATGGTTGTCATTGTTGATGAAAGCAGTGGGGAAAGTGCAACAGCTATTCTGGAGGAACAATTGCAGGTAAAATGTTAGAGTCCTCTTTTTTTTTTTTTTTTTTTTTTTTTTTTTTTTTTTTTCAACTGTAGTAGCAGGCACTTAAAACCTTTGCATATAATTGTTAATCAACATTTTTGTGTTTAAAGACAACTTATCCTAGAATTATCCTAGAAAGACAACTTACACTAGAAAGGAATTTCAAGTAACATTTTTTTAGAAGTAATTAAGAATTACTAAATTTGCACGGGGTTAAAGCTGCAAAAGTACTTTGGTGATTTTCAAGCTCAGTTCCTGATGAGTCAATTCACATTCCCAGTGACAGGCACTTTTGTAGTGTATACTTTCAGCAGTTTCATTAAAATGGGAAGATGCACAGTATGACTCTTATTTCACATAAGTAATTTTCATTAGGAAGCTAAAATCTGATGGGAAGAATATTTAAAGACATCAGCACAACTTATGTAGGGAATATCGTGTGAAGTATTTTCCCATTTTTGTCAGAAGTTAGACTGTAACCTGAAGTATAGGGAGTGTGAAACAGAATTTATCGAAACAGAAGTCATACTACTTTGTTTGCTCCTTTTGAAGCCGATCAAATAGCTCACTGACTTCAGCAAGAGCGGAGAGAAGGCCATAGGTGAATGCTCTTGAAAGCTTTAACCTCCAGCTTTGTGCAATACAACAATGACGATCACTGGCAAGGAGGAAGCTATAATGTAGAAGGAGGTTACTGTGAAGTAGAAATTATGCTTCTGAATATCTGATTTTTGAGTTTCCTTGTGAGGCTCGTGAATGTTCATGAGTGTTTCCTGCTTTTGTAGAGGCTTGGCGAGCGGTGGACAGCAGTTTGTCGTTGGACTGAGGAACGACAGGTCAAGTTGCAAGAAATTCAGCTTTTATGGCAGGAGCTGCTGGAAGAGCAGGTTAGTAGCTCTTCAGTTACCAAGAGTGACTGGTTGATTTGTGGAGGGGAAAAAAACAACCAAACAAGAAAAGCCCCAAACCCCTTAGGGTTTAACAGCTTTCAGAAAAATGCCTTGAGAAACTAGATTTTGTGTTCTTGTTCGGGTTCCCAGTGTTTCTTGAGGAGTAGAGTAGCTGTGCAGCGCAAGAGAAGTACTTCCCAAAGTTTAAGAAAGAAAGTTTATAACTCCTTATGAAATAATTTCCAAGGTAGCTTGCAAAATGGCCAATAAGTGGGAATATCCATGATAGCAAAATGATAATGAGTCATTAAGTATTTGGTGGTTTAGTAATGACAGCAATTTTCCTAATTAAGATATATGTGCTTCCAACAGGGATACATGTACACAATTGTGCAATCAACTAATCAATAGATACTGTTTTCAAAATCAGTATCATAAAACATTTGGTCAATATAGCGAAGCATGCAGCTCGTGTCATTTTGCTGAGTTTAGGCAAACAGTTGAATTGTGAAGAAGATGGCATTGTGAGTTTTTTCTTGCTTTGGTACCATGCATTTTACGTATATATTAAATGTACTTCTCAAATACAAATTAACGGATGGCATAAAAAAATATGGTAATGCAACTGTATGTGTTAGGTTTGCATGCCTAGTGCTAGAGCTTGTTTTGTGTCTCAGCATAAAATATTTGCTGGCTTTTCCTTTGAAAGTTTTACTTAAATTGTTTTGTTTTCTTAAATGACGGTATTTATCTCTGTAAGCTATTGTTTAAACTCTACAGTACACACAGATTGTTTAGACATTTGAAAGAAGTAGAACAGTGCTGATATAGCTGTTGCTATCAATTACAGCCTGGTTTCTTTGACAGGGATGTTTTGTCTGCATTTTTGGGGGTTACATATGTATTTCTCCCTGACCTGTCCCATATCTATTTGCAGTATATTGATAAGCTGAATTTGAAGCTCATGTGATCTTCTTGTTAATATGGACCCAAGGTTCAGATTCTGGTTTATCCAATGCCAAGTATCTATTTATATATATTTCTTTAAAATACTGTGTTGGCCTATGTGTACAAACATACAGAAAATTGTGTGCTAACATTTTCTGGCAACTCTTGGGCAAGATTAGTCTCCGAGTTGAAAAAAGGATTCCTCAAAAATCCTCACTCTGTATGTCCAGGTACAGACTTCAAGTGCTCTCAGTTTTGATGACCCTACGTGAACATATTTCTGTCCCCTTCCACCCTTGTATTTGTCTGGGGAAAAGTGGCCACTCATTGGCTATTACAATACTGTTAAGTGTCTCATCTTCTGTTGGAGTTGCTTTGCATTCAGCTTTTTTTAATTTGTATGTAATTATGTTGCTCTGTAGAAGTGAAAAAATTAATCAGTGTTTATTTATGTAGAATGTCAGATAGCAAGTAATGAGGAAATACGAGTTTATTTTAGGTGTTTTAGATCAGACTATGTTTGCATTCGTTGTTCAACTCTGAACTATGCATTTATTACTAACAGGTTTGAATTACAGTTCTCTGTCCTCAAGAATTATCAAGTGACCTACAAAAATTACAATTTGAAACTAATTGAAAACTTTAATACAAACTTTGTTAAGACAAAAGTGACTAAAACATTCAGGTACTATCACTTTCCATTTCGCCCAACCAGATGGAGAGATGAGCAACAGTGATGCATCAGCCTTTTTGTGGCTGCCTAGAAAATTTTTGGAAACCACATTGCCAAGTCAACACAATTCTTACCACTCAGGAAACAAATTCCTCAATCAGTGCCAGATATTTCTTAGCACTGTGATAATTATGTTTCAGTTTTCTAGGGAGAATTATCTTTGACTGCTGATTTAGCAGAAATTAATTGAATACATTAAAGGGTTTTTAAGCTCCTCTTATGCATAAAATACGTTGGCGGGGATGCCAGTGTGATTTTTCCAGAGAGTATGTGGTGTTACAGTTTTGTTTCTCACAGCCTTATGGCATTTCCACTGCCATCGTATTTGCTGTTTGTACATTTTGCATATTGGTTTACATTGGCAATGTAAACTGCCTTATCCCTTTGGCCCAAAAGTTGCTGTAGTCAGTTCTGGGACAATGCCAAAAATATACAGCTAGACTGAGGAGCCTAGTGGCTGTTGTGAAGTGTGTTGTTCAAAGAACAAAAAGGTCTGCCTTGCTGTATCTTTTTTTTTTTTATTATTTTTTAATTTTTCTTAAGACAGAGGAGTAGCAGTACACCAGTGGCTATGCAACTGCTTGATAAGAGTGCTGGGTATTCTAGTCTATGGAGATGGCTGTGCAGCAGCAGCAATATGTTGCAGCGTAATATAAAATGTATAAAATCCTTCCTGATACTTCGTGGCAGTTATTGCTGGAGTTTCCATAGGAGTGCTTGTGTGACTGAAGAGAAGTGAGACCCAGTACTGGTTTCCTAGAAAAAAGTGGAAGAAGTCCAAGATCCATTCCAGCTTTCAGCAGTTAATGAGACAGTATTTGCTGAAATTATTTTGCAACTGAAAGTAGGTACAGTAAGCAGGGAGGTGACTAATTATTATCCGAGTCTTTGACTGACTGCCTGGATTAAAAGAGCTCTGAATTATCAGTGTTGTAGCTTCTGTGAGAAAATGTTTGTAATGGCTCATTTTGAATCACAGAGAAAGAAGGGTGGAGAATGAAAAGAAGCATATATTTTGATATATTTAATTCTAATGTGAGTCCTACATCAGCTTTATGGTGGATATCTGGTTGCTATAAATAACTTCAGGGTGTGCACTCTGATACATTGAGAAATGGTTTTGTTGAAATTGTGCTGGAAAGTATTACTTCGTTCCCTGATCTGATATTTTTTTGTCCCCTTTTGTGTATGTACTATTTTTGTTAATGCCAACTGAAATTCCTGCATATAAAGACTACAGAACTGTGCTTTGAATGCAAAGATCTTAAAGAAAGAATTGTCAATAGCTGTTTGACAAACTTGGTATTTTCTTGTGCTATTTTTCTTATGATCTGCAGTGCTTATTGAAAGCTTGGTTAACTGAGAAAGAAGAGGCTTTGAGTAAGGTCCAGACAAGCAACTTCAAAGATCAAACAGACCTGAGTGTGAATGTTCGAAAACTAGCAGTGAGTATCGCTCTCCTGCTCTATCCTGTCATGTCTCATAGACTAAATGAATGGCAAATTACCAGTTTGACCCCAGTAGGAGCTGTGAATGCATGATACTTTGGAAGCCAGGACAATATTCTCTCCTTGCCAGATTCTTTCATTTGAATTTAAAAAATGTGTACAACTTCATGGCCATTCCAGGTTGGCGTGCCAAACTTTGAAACAGCTATCCTGGGTTTTTGACAGGGTTTGGAGTTTATTGCAGGCCACCAGTCAGCTGTGTTTTCCAAAGTGTGGGTTTGTGGTTTGTGGTTTTTTTTTTCTTTTTTTTTTTTTCTTTAATACATTGGTGCGGCTTGTACCTGAACTAATTGTTTGTAGCTGTCACTCAAGAGATACTGCTGACTGCTCTAGGAGCTGTTTCAGGGATGTGCTCTTTTTAAGAGTGTCTGTGCTTTGTTGTACGAGAGAACTGTTTTGAAACCTATGATGCATCTGGCTCAGGTAGTACGTTTCTCTTGCCCTCCGCCTCGGAATTAAAAGCTAAGGGGTGGCAGAATACTTGATGTTGTTTTTTAATGTTTTCTTTTAACTTCAGATTTTGAAAGAGGACATGGGTATGAAACGGCAAACACTAGACCAGCTGAATGAGCTAGGTCAGGATGTGGCCCAGATCCTTGGGAATGGCAGAGCATCCAGTAAAATCGATCAGGATCAAGAAGAACTAACTCAGAGGTGGGACAGTTTGGTTCAGAAGCTAGAGGATTACTCTAACCAGGTACTTAGCAAGGCTTTCTTACTTGTTAGTTGTTTAGATGTCTGTATGTATGCAAACCTCATTGATACTCTCAGCAAAATTGCCCAGGCGAGTTCTTGGCATCAGGCTAGAGAGGTAGGTGAGTGCTCTTTCACGTGGGGCTGACTTTATCTGCTGCCAAAGCTGTCTTCGTGTTTTGGTCTTCAAAACCCCAAGTTGTTAACCTGACTAGTACTATTACTCCTTTCTCACACAGATTAAGCTTCATTTTTCTGATGAGTAAAGCAGGCTTGCCATGTATTATCAATCAATGCAAATGCCTTTAAACATTATAAGAGTGCTGGGACTGGATTAAATCTGATACTAAAAGAAAACAGAGACAAAACCCAAAACCCAGAATAGATAAATAAATGGGAGTCATACAAGCATTTATGCTCTGTGAGTATGATTTCTCATCTGTTGAAAATAGAGTAGTTGTTTGTTTGCTATGTAACGATGATAGCCAAGCTGGATTGTTAAATGTTTATTTTAGTATTTTGAGTGCTTGGTAATGTTTTTATTTAGACAGAACTCCAATTGGCTTCTGTGAGAACTTTGTTTGACAGTTTTATGACTCATATGTCCCTTTTTTATGGTATTAAAATGTTATTATGGTGAAGGCTGTAGCACTGATTCATGATCCATTTAGTGTATAGTGAATGAATTGTACAGTCTGAGTAGAGGTTCATTTCAGCCATGTGGCTTTAATTTGTTCTTGCGTTTGAGTCAAAGCACTGGAGAGTGCCAAATCCTGTCTTCATCTTTTTGCTCCCCCTAAATATCAAGCACATACTTAGAACTTACAGGTTGATTCCCACAGGACTTATTTTATAACCCGTTAAAAAGTGTGGAAGGTTTCTGTTGACTTAAGTGAGTTTTTAGGTCAAATCCACTGTGTATTAGCTCTTTCTGAGATCTAGGCTTGGTTTTATGGGGTGTGAGTATAAAATACAGAAATCTGTGTTAATAAACCCGAAGGACCTTGGTTCTTTCTGTGAACCAAGCAATTCTAAAAGAAAATAGATATAATGCTTATTTTGTTGATTTTAGTTCACTTGGACTGGCATGAAATTCTAGTTGAACTGAGAATTTTGATGTGTGGTTTGCATCTGTAAAATGAGAATAATGAAGTTTTTCTCTGGAGCGCATCTATGATAAAGGTGCTTCATGATGGCTAGATGTGGTCATTTATAGGAGTGAATGAATGGGCTTTTATGACTGATGAATAAAAGGAACTAAGCGAAAGCAATTCAGTTTGTGTTAGAAATGCATTTAACCCTTTTGCTAAATTATTTTGTATAGGTAACTCAAGCTGTAGGAAGCGTAGGGATGTCACAGGTTTCACAGAAGACTGCTGCAGAAACAACACCATTGAAGGAACAGGTAGTAGTTAAACAATCCAGACAGGAGTTGCCCCCACCACCACCCCCAAAGAAAAGGCAAATCCCAGGGGACAGTGGAGCAAAGAAAAAGTAAGTATGTCATTGCCATTTTTCCTTGCTCACTAGGTACTACACAGACTCATGTCTCTTGGTCTTGACTTCTGCTTCTTCTTTTAGGCAAGTGAGGAATACTTAAGTTGAGGTTGGGTTTGTGGGGTGGGAAGGAAACGTTAAGTACAGCCTTGTTTTCAGAGCAACAGAAAGCCTGCAGCTTCCATTAATTTCAAAGGGAAATGAGGGTGTTTTGTTTCTCAAAAAAGCAAGTCTTCAGTCCTTTGTACCTCAGTTCTTTTGCTGAAGGATAGAATTAATTATATTTACTTTCTTGCGGAAAAACATCTTCTCACCTTTGGTTAAGAAATGTGAAAGTGCCAAGTATTTTGATTTATTTATTATTTATTTCTAATCGCCATAAAATATATAGGAGAAATGGGAGAAACTGCACAAAAAAGGCTCAGAAACCTATTCCATCTCCCTGGTATTTAGTAATAAGCACAATATTGCAGTGATGTCTCCTTTCACAAGTGTATCTCGAGTGGCTGACTGATTTGCATGTATAGAATCATAGAATGGCTTAGGTTGGAAGGGACCTTAAAGATCACCTAGTTCCAACCCCCCTGCCATGGGCAGGGACACCTTCGACTAGATTGGGTTTCTCAGAGCCCTGTCCACCCTGGCCTTGAACACTGCCAGGGATGGGGCATCCACAGCTTCTCTGGGCAACCTGTTCCAGTGTCTCACCACCCTCACAGTAAAGAACTCCTTCCTAATATCTAATCTGAATCTATACTCTTTCAGTTTAAAACCATTACTTCTCATCCTATCACTATACTCCCTGATAAAGAGCCCCTCCCCATCTCTCCTGTAGGCCCTCTTTAACTATTGGAAGGCTGCTGTAAGGTCTCCCCCGAACTTTCTCTTCTCTAGGCTAAACAGTATTTAATAACATGTTGCAGTGCCTTTATTAAATAGCATACCTAAAACTAAAGAGGTTGTTTCAAGATAAATTAAGAAAGTAAATTCTGTATACTCATCATTCTGCTTTTTGTGCGTTCCTGAGAAAATGCTCATTTCTTTGAGGTGTTGCTAGTTTAAACCTTTGGTAGGTCATCTAGGGAGAGGACAGAGGGCTGCATCAAGAGCAGGGAGTTGCTGTGCTAGGTGATGTGTGTTCGCACAGTGAAGAAGAGTTGTTCTCTTCATTTTTCTGGAGGAGGAATGGAGGTTTGAAGGGGTGGGGAACTTGTCCAAACCCTCTTGAGGACCCTGGTCTGATCCTCTGAGCCCTGCTGGGAGTGGGGTGTGCATGCGGGTGTCCCAGGGCAGTAACGCAGTTGACAACCCATCTGTCCCTTCTCTGTGTGTGTCTCTTGAGTTGTAGAAACTATTTTAGACTTTGAAAGCAAAAGTGATTTGATCCTTTGCCTTTTTTCCTGGAGTTAAAACTGTATTAAGGACAGAGTCAGTTAAAATAGGTTAAACTTTCTGATGCTTTTGCCTGATCCCAATTACTTATGTTGAAACCAACAAATGGCCAGTAACTAGAATTTTGCAGGCTTTCCAATGAAAACTTTGAGTGACTAACAGTGACTTCTGCGTTTGTTGGTAGGCTGTTATTCCATGTTAGGATTTCCACTGTGTTAAGTAGTATAATTGTAATAAATAACTGTCGTCTGTATAGTATATCTATCCTTCTCTCAAGTTCTGTACAGTAGTGGTTAATTTGGGAGGTTTTTTTGGGGGGTTGGTGTTTTTTTGTTTGTTTGTCTTTTGGTCGTGGTGGGTTGTAGCTTAGAGGTTTTAGGCATAAGAAAGTTATGTTAGTATAGACGTGTCCAACTGTAGCCAAAAATATAAAGCTATAAGCTAATCTTTAGTCAGCCAAGCGTTCAAAAAGGTTTGTCCACTGTCACTGCCATGAGTGCGTAAGCTGCTAGCTTTTTCTTCAGACTAAATAGTTGCAGACTTTTACGAAATCTAGAACTGTCTTGTTCCTGAGGTTTAGTTTATTACTTTCAAAATACTCAGCATTGAGAGATATATATTCTGTGACGTATTAAAAGAAACAGTAATAGTCTGCATGAAGATATGTGTAAAAAAAAAAATTAAGAAATAAATTGTACCATGCATTCTCAATTTGTTCCCAAAGGCTAATACCATGGACATAAATTTTACTATGGCAGGGTTTTGAAAGTCTGTGTCTGTCCTACCGCCTGTAAGTAGTAATATGAGAAACATGACTCTTGTGTGCAGCCTTGCTGTTTTGGAATTGAGTAATGTGCTGAACTTTAAAACTTCTTTTTTTTAAAGACAGAGTGACTGAATAAGGAAAAATGACCAAAAAAAAAAAAAAAAATTCTGCCCTTTTAAACCAGGTTTGAGGCTGAAAGTGCTGAGCTCTTGAACTGGATTTCAAAATCAAAATCCGCCATTCAGGCCACAGACATCAAAGAGTACAAGAAGATGAGGGAGACTTCAAACATGAAAGAAAAGTTGAAGGTAAAATGGGGAGATAGAGAGTGTTCCGCTGAAATAGTATATTTTGTCTCTAAGCTGGCTGTCAGCTGGAGGTGTGGGCTGATCTGCATGCTTCGTGGGGATTAAGTCCTTTAGTTAAATAGTTTCAGATCTGGACGTATGTGGAGATCTCTGACCAGCTGGACACAAACTTCTGATGTTGGGTTGCCCAGTCCACAGGAAATTTTAAAAACATGTATGACTGATGTCTCCTCAGGATTAGTATCTTTTCCACTAAGCAGCATATTTTGACTTCATGTTTCACAGTTGGAGATGGACTTGACTGACACCACTTTTATAGTTTTGGCAGAGATGGGCCAGTGGGCTGCTCAGAGACCCCTTGAATCATGCTGTGACACTCTGCACACACTATACCGCCCAGGGTCCAAAGTGGTCTGTTTTTAATAAAGTTAGGACACATTGCTGTTTGCTCTATTAATTTTGAAGAAAACCTGATAGTTACAACTCATGTATGGTATTACTGACATGAAAGACAGAATACATAATTTTACAGGATCCTGTGGGAGCCATGAAATAAACATTTTATCTTCTATTCCTTCTGTTTCAGGAATGTATTCTTGCCTCTTTTGGTCCTGAGCATGTTTTGTTAATGAAGGCTTACTGGAGCTTTAGCAGGACCTGAACCTGCTTTTGAAATCAAAGACAATACTTAAAAATATTTATAAGGAGCCTCCTTCTCAGTGCTGTAGTGCAAAACGGTGCCAGTAGGAATGTTTGGAATGGCAGTACTGTTGGAAATAAAACCCAAAACAACCCTCCCAATAATTTATTTATAGATCTTTATGAATGTTTGTAGTCCTTTATAAAATAGGCTCCAAGACGAACACCAGGTTCCCATGAACAGCACTGTTTTTAAATGATTGGGCTCTAAGTGGGTAGGACAGTGTTCTTCCCAACGGTACAAATGAATGCATGCTTCTTCTGAATTTACTGGAGCAAGTCTAAACCAGAGTCCTTGGACATTAGTTTCAAAAAGACTTTAATTTGGAGGTGCTTTGTTGTAATCGCAGAGGGTATTGAAGTTGTGGCCTTGTGGAACTCATCTTTCCTCTGTGGATGTATTCTAGCTCTTGGCTTGCACAGGAACATTCAGCAATATGTATGACTTGAGGGAGGAACTTGTTTCTTTAAATGTCTTGGTAGTCACGTAGGATCTCCCTCACCATTTCTTTATGACGGAGAGTGAAGCACTAGAGCTTATGAGAGTGGATTACTAGTATGCTGTAGTTCTTGCTAGCTGGACTTCTAGGGAACAGGTGGTTTTTCCCTTCTACTGGAAACCTCAGCAGACACTGTAGAGGCAAAGGGACTATTTAAAAAAGGTCTTTTCTCCACTGATTCCGATTAAATAATTACAATTTTTGATCACAGGTGACTTGTTTTAGCTGGTGTCCCAGTATCTGATTTCACACAGCAGGATTGTTAACCCTTTTAACAATATTTTATTCCTGGTGGTGGTGTACTAGTCTTTTGCTTGTCTGGTACTTGTGAGAACTAACTCCTTTTGCATTTGTTTTCTGAACAAACGGTGCTAACATGCATCTTAGAAGTTGCTGTATCCAAGAAAAATGGAATGTGTTTTGGGTAGTAGTGGGAAAATACGTGTTACCAAGGGGTTGGGAGGGAAGTCAAGAAAAATGACCCTCTCTGAAACTGTGTTCTTTTGGGGTTCACTTTGTAGGTGATAGAAAAAGAAAAGGTTGAAAAAAGCCAAAAGTTAGATGAACTGAAACGAAGTGGACATATTCTTTTGGATCAAATGGGAAAGGGTAAGCAGCTTGAAGGTTTTTCTGTTTTGTGATTTAATCAGATGGGTAGCTGGGAAATAATACTGAGATATGCTATCTCCGGTTAGGCATTGCAACATATTCCTTCCCTCTCCCTCCATTTTCTTTTCTTCAGAGACACTGGTCATTGTTACTGTTACTAGTTATTGATATGTGTTTTGTTTCTATCACAGCTTATAGAAAAGCAATATTAATATTCTTTGCTTAATGTGTGTGTGTTCAGTTGCAACCTTTTAAGGGTTATTTTTATTGAAATAGAAATAATTTCTTGAAACGGCAGTAACATGCTTTTGGGGGAAGGAGTTGGTTTAATTTTAAATTGTGTGGAGATATTAAATATAAAATTTTAAAATATAACTGCCTTAAAGAAGTGGAAATTTTGAAACCAAATTTAGGCTTGATAAATGTGTGTGTATCTCTCTTTACAGAAATAGAGAAAACTATGAATAAAAACTGGCAGTGTGTTTTGATGATACAGTCACAATTTATGGCTCAAAGGCAAGAGAGAAGCCTACATGCTTGAGATAATGATTGATTGTCAATTAAAACACTTATCCCTGGAAACTTATAATTAACGTCAGTGAAAGTTGAATCTTTAAACCTTGCCAAAGTCTTGTTTCATAATATGACAAAACTCCATCAGTGAAATGTGACTTTCTACGTAAGAGCTGTTCATATCATCTGGAGACAGTCTTTTAGATCTGCTATGCACTTAGCTTCTGGTGAAGTTGCTATGACTGGTAGCATTTTGACAGGTGAAAGGGTGGTGTCACTGTCCTGCATACTGACCAGCATCCCTTTTGGAAAATGCTGATTTTCATTGAATTTCCCAATTGTCACATTTTTTGCCACCCAGCCCCTTTGCCCGGATGCCCCAGTCTGCTAAACATCTCCAGTCCTCCCCTCCCTGCCTACTACAGCTGAAGCTTTTTACAGTGGGTGCCATTGCCCTGAAGCTGATGGCTGGAAGCCAATGATTTGACCTGGGGTTGGGGTTATAAAAACTTGCAGCTGTTCGTTGTCTTCAAACCTGGATAGAGATCTTCCCTCCTTCCCTCTCTCCCTCCCTCCCTCCCTCCCTCTCTCTCTCTTTTATAAACCTGTCCAGCTCTGATAGGTCATGGCTGCAAAACCAGTATCTGTTGATCATAACGAGCAATGCGTAGTTCAAAAACTGGTTTTGTAGAAGCAAAAAATAAGATACAGAAATTGCTTCCTAATTGTTTGCCATCTTAAGGTTTGCGATCAGTAGGAAATAGCCAATCTACAGCCCATGGCTTTGTTAGGGTCTGCTAGTATGTTTTGTCCCGCTTAGAATGACAGCCCGTGTCTCCAAAACTGGGCCCAGCTACACCTGTGTGGAATAATGCACAGCACTGGCATGCACGTGTATACATCCATTTCTGTCTTGGGGTGTGTGCAGGCAGTGACTGATCATTGTGTGCATGCTCCTCTTAGGTGGCTGGTTGCAGCTGGTGTGCTTCCGTATTGCAGGTGTGCCAAGTGTGTGGCCAGTGTGTGAAGCACAGGGAGGATCTATGGAGCGGAACCTTCAAGTGCCCTTGCAGAAGCTGGCTGGCTGCCCTAGACCTGGGCTCCACTTGTGCTAAAGCAGTGCAGCCAACAGACCCCTCTGAACCTCCTCCTTACACCCTGATTGAAATGACAGAACTGTTAAGTTCAAGTGACCCCAATATGCGTTATCAAAAGAAGGTGGTACCTTGAAAGAGAATCTGCATCAGAAACTTACAATGGCAAAAAAGTACTGCTGAATGCACGTTGCACTGGAATTTCTTCATATATAGCAAAATTGTCAATTACTTCTGGCACTTGAGGAAATAAAAGAACAAGGAATGGGTGGGAGGTCTGTTCGCTTCTGCTGCTGCATCCTCAAGTAATGCATTGATTTGTCAAAAAGATGGTGTAGCAAGTGCTTTATGTAGTCACTGTGAGTGCAGAATAACCTTGTGTTTTGTCGTGTTGCTTTTGTAGCTATTCATATTACCTAGTTATTAATCTTGTCTGCATGCAATGTGGCATTGTTAGCCATTGCTCCCTCTCTCTCCCAGACCGACAGGACTTCCATCTACATTTTCAATGCATTTATTGCTGCCGTCCAATTTGCTGCTTTCCTTCTTCTTTGTGGAGTCTAGAATCATTTAGAAAGACAAATTCATCGGAAGCCTACTTAAATGAAGCTTATTTTAATAAAATCTACATATCAACATTTAGACACAAATCATGATGGTGAAGAGAGTCATGATAGTCAAGAGTCAACTCATCGTTATAAATTTGAATGTTATCAAAGGGAAAGAACGGAGCTGCAATATCTCACTCTTCATTTTACTATCAATGTGGAAATAAAAAACTGAAGCACTGTTAGTAATAAGTACAGTTTTATGGATAGTGGACTTGGAATCAAAGCTTTTTACATGTTAAGGCAAATGTGTGCCTATATCCGAAGAGAGGAAAGGTTAAATGCCTGTTAATCAAAATGTGTTGCAGTTAATCTAACAATAATTTATATAATCTTTTTAGAGGGACTTTCTGCAGTGGATATAAAAAGTGTGATGGAGAAAATATTGTCAGGGTGGAAAGATGTGGTTCAACTTCTGGAAGAAGTGGCCAGAAAGATAAAGTACCAGGAAGATATAAATGCTTACTTTAAGGAAATGAGCGAGCTTGAGAAGACTGTAATTGAGAAGGATAGCTGGCTTAAAAATGACGCTTCTTCAGCATCCCAGCCCTCAGCAGTCCTGAAAGACTTATGTCAGGTAAGCCTGGCAAAACTTGTTAATTTTGATTGGAAGCTGTTAGGAGCACAGGATACCCCACAGGAGTTTAGCCTAGTCAGTAATAAGGTAACTCAAAATTTGAGGCATCCAGGGTGCCAGATTTGACTGGAAAATTTTGGTACCTGTGTAACAGGAGAACTTTAACGTTGTTGCCCTAGTAATGTGGAGGAGCTGTGCTGCAATAGCTTACTAAAATCTTTGTGTTATCAAGGCAAGTGTGAGATTTGGTTTTGGTTTTAATCTTTCACAGCGGGAGTTAACTCATCTTGTAAGTCTGAGTTCACGGCTGGAACACCTGAAAGCCACCTGCAAGTCACTCACCTCTCAGCCCATGCCTCCAAACTTCATTCAGGAGAGCTTGAATGGTTTTCTTGATCACTTCAAGTCGACTCGTCAGAAACTAGAGGAATGTCACCAGCGGCTGAAGAAAGGTAAAAAAAAAAAAAAAAAAAAAAAAACAAACCAAAAAAACCCCCACCCAACCATATTTTTTTTTTCTTAACATAAGCCCTCCTGATACTTGTGTTCTGATGTTTTTTGTTGCTTTGAGCCGATTGAAAACTCACTGAATTCTGGTAGAGTTTTCCTACTGATTCGGGAGGCTTTGGGTCAGGCTGACAAAATCTTTTTATTCACCTGAAAGAATATTTTTATTACCTCCTCTGTGCACGCTACAAAATATATCGTTCCATGGTGTTAAAAGAGATTATGCAAGAATGCAACATTCCTGAAACTACATTTAAGGAATTAGCAAAACATATTTAAGGTGGATAATTACAGTTTGAAAAGCTGTATGTCTCTGGCACTTACAGAAATAAATAATAATACTAGAAATGAAAAATGGAAGATTAAGAGAACCTTGTAAAACTGAAGTGTGCATGTGAAATTTATTCTTTTTCACAGCTTTGAGCACATTAGTCATACATAATTCCTTTTGGAAACTTCATCTTTGAAGGGATTTGGAATCTGGCTTGCTTTTCAGGCACTTTCTACTTGGGTTTTTGTTGCGTTAAAAATTTCATTATGAGCATTCAAACCAGTCATGCTGGCTTCTAAAGGATTTTAAATGTAGTGCACAAAATATGTAGCTCTGTTAATATTTTACAGCTGAATAGCAAGAGCACAGATGTATAAGAAGATTCGTTTTCCTTAGTTTTCGTTTTGTTTGAGGAATTCAAGGAAGCGTTTTGCTACCAGCCCCAAATGGAAGAGCATTAACACTTTATTCTGTGTGTGATAAAAATAGGCTCAATTACTAAATTGTTAGGCCATCTATATAATGTGTTGCACAAGACCTGCATGGTTTGATTATATCCATGCAGAAAACTGTATGAATAACATACCTGTCTGCCATGCTCAAATTACAGGGTGTGCTTGCATTCTTACTGTGAGGAATGATTATTTTATGACTGTTCTGAGTTCATGTACTTTTGAATAATTGTATTGGTATTGTGTATTTTGGTAATTATTACATGATGTGACAAAAATACTCCTTATATTTTCATGCCACACGTCACTTGAGGGGTTATTAGTATATTTGAACCAGTTATTACTCGGTGAAAACACCTTGTATATCATAATATGTTAAATTTGTATTTATGTATTTTTTGAATTATAATTTCTCTGCAGATTGTGTATTGCTAAAGAACAGAGGGAAATGTCAGTTGAAGGTTTCAGTTGTTTATTTACAGCATAGTTTTAATTTAATTTAAGAACTTCAGAGCCATATAACAGGGAGAAACAACTGGTGGTGGCGCTTGAGCATGTGTGAACTTGGCAGGCTTTGACTGACAGAAGTCCAGCTCCTTTCACGGCTCTTCTTTGAGCCTCTGAAAATTCCCTGATAGAGTGGTACTCAGCTCCATCTCTACGGGCATTTTTTATGGGAATTGTGACTTAATTTTTGTGTCAATGGGAGACTATTTTAACTATTTTCTTCTCCTTCAGGATTTGCTGTAGTTTAGTGACAATGCACCTATTTGCTTTTTACTGAATTCCTCCCTGTCCCCCCTAAATTGATCCTGGCTTTTTGAGAAGCGGAAGCTAGATAACCGATTCTCTCTAGAAATGTTGACTCATTCCTTAGTTATAAATGGTGTGACAGTTCTGACAGTAAGCTGTTGAAAAGCTACCTGGTGAGTCAGAACAAGGCTTAGATTAACTTTCGCTTGTGGCAGTGATGAAATTGCTTAGGAATCCAAGGCCAGAGAATGTGCATACCACAGTACGGGTCTTACAACCAAAATCCTGTTTGCTGCAGTTTTCTAAATTTGACGTTTTCATTCTGAAATGCCAGAGTGAGGTGCTGCCTCCTGCCTGGGATTCCACAGAGGGCTGGCTCGTGCAAAATCCAAGATGCAGTCAAAGATTGCAAGCAGATACTCCATCTAAACCTTAATTATCTTTTCAGTCTTCCCAGATAATGTCTCTGATCTGGCAACAGGCTGAAAGCTGCTGGTTTTATATATATTTGTGTGTATGTGTGTAGTTATATAAAAATGAAAAAAAAAAAAACCAAACCCAAACCCCATACTCTACTTCTACACTAATATATATTTTATGTATGTGTGTTTATATATAAAATACTAGCTTACATAGTTACTATAGTGTGTGTATTTAACTTTATATGTAATATATAGCTATTATATTTGCTATACTTTATATTCTGTATATAGTAGCTATCTGTGTCTTTATATGTAATATATAGCTATTATATTTGCTATACTTTA